ATGATTTTTTTCCTTATTCTGAAATGTCATCAGAGTGCTAAAAGATCTGATGATTTCAAGGCAAAATTCAAGACACACAAACTTTCTAGGATTTCCTGACATTTCCATTTCAATAGACTTTGATGGTCCAATGGTTGCAACAGATATTTACATCTTGGTAAATATTTTTGGCTCTCAGCAATCTGGTCCCAAGCCACCTTTGCTGCATTACCCCTATTAGTCTCAGTTACAATCTTGTCTATGCATGCAGGCTGTTTTCATTCTCTAATCCCGGGACCCCAAACCTCTTCTCTCCTCCATATGCCCACCTTTCATAAACTATCCATGCTTTACTGTGCTTCTCATCTACAGATTTTCTTTATTAACTGCCTTATTCCAGTTATTCTTCACTTTTATCACTAAACTAACCTCAATTATATGCTTTTTGTTACAAAAGGTTTTTCCTCAACTATTTTCTTAGGAAGAACACAAAAAACATTTGCATAATTATACCATGTTGAATTTTTCTTTAATATGAACTTCGATTATAAAATGGTAAGCTTAACTTACACAGCTTCACAAGAAAGCGATTTATTTATTTTTATTATTTGAGGCAGGGTTTCCCTTTAGCCCAGATTGACTTGGTACTAACTCTATAGCCCACAGTGGCATCCCACTGATGATAACCCTCCTACCTCCTACCTCCTCTCAAGTGCCGAGATTACAGGAGAGCCACCATGCAGACAAGAAAGCAACTTATTAACTAAGCAAATATTTACTGTACACTGACTATATGCTGGGCATTGCTTTTATGCTTTGGGGACACAGAAGTAAACAAAACAATTCACGCCTACAAAAAGCATTATCAGAGGCAGCGAAAGCCCAGTGGGTAAAGGTGCTTGTTGCCTGGCTTGATGACCAGAGTTCAATCTCCAGAACCCACATGATAGAAAGAGAAAACTAACTCCCCCAAGCTGTCCTCTGACTTCCACATGTATGCCAAGGCAGCATGTACACACACACACACACACACACATACACACACACACACAAAAAAAAAACTAAATAAATGTAATAAAAGTAGAGTATATTCTAGTGATAAGAAGAAAAACAATAGATAAAATATATAAAATGTTGAATATTGTTCAGAGCACAGGGGAGTTACAAAGGAGAGAGGTTTTGAATTTTAGATATGGGCTTCAAGGCAGGACCATTAAAAAGATGACATTTGACTAAATATCTAAGGGAAGCTAGGGAGCCTACTATGCAGAAACAATCGTTGTGAAAGAAGTCAATAAAATTCAGAAAGAGGGTTTTAGGTGAGGACAAAGAGGTAGCCAGGATCAGGAGTCACATCCGGTAGGCCACTATAATAGCAGGGAAAGAAATCCAAAGGCTGAATTCCAACCTGAAGAGGTCAAGGACAGAAAAGAATCCACCAAAGGCAGGATGCTGAGAAGGAATGAAGTTTAAGAGGAAAACCAAAGGAGCGTGGCATGTGGAGGCAGAGCAAAGGTAGCATACCAAGGAGGAGGAAGTAGTCGACTGTGCTAAGCCATGTGGAAAGTAAGAAAGGACTAGGAATTGGTCCCTGGCTTTAGTTTTTCATGATCTTAACAAAAACCATTTGGTAGAGTGGCAAGGAAGAAACTAGAATAGAGTGTAAGATGAAGAAGAAGGAAAGGGGCCTGGTGTGGTGCACACCTGTAATCCTAGCACACTCAGAAGGGTGGAGCATGAGGCTTCCAGGACAGCTGAGCTACACAATGAGAAATGGAGTCTGTGCATAGCATACAGACAACTGTGTCAAATGTTTCTGTGAGAGAGGCAGAAAAATGACGTATTGGCTATGGGGTCTGCAGGGGTCAAAGAGGGACTTTTAATGATAGACATAAATCCTCTGAAGACTCTCAGCAAGAAAACTGAGCAGCAGCAAAGTGAATCTGAAAAAGGAAAGATCCTGGGGACTTTGAGAACAGGCCACTATCAATATTCATATTTTTCCATAAAAACTGCTCACAAAATAGTTCAATACTACTTTTCCATTAAATGATTCATTTTCAAAACTGCAAATTAATATTTATTTTAAATGGGAATTATCATAGTTATGATGTCATACCGTTGAGTCTTAGCTGATATTTCTCAACTATCTTCAGAAGTTCAATGCATGTCTCTTGAATGGAGTGAAAAACCTTGAAATATAAATTTTATGAAGAGAATTTAAGCACCAATAAACAAATACAATTTATAAGCACTTCAAAAGCAGAACATTTGCATATAAGCATATATTAGGTATCTTTCATATATATTATGTCCATTTTCCTTGGCTGTGATATACATCTTTTAAAAAAACATTTTAATATTTTATTTTTATGTGTATAAGTGTATTGCCTGCATGTGTTTAAGTGACTTGTGTCGTGCAATGCCTGTGGAGGTCAGAAGGTATCAGATCCCCTGGAACTGGAGTTACAGATGGTTGTTAGCTGCCATGTGGGTGTTGGGAATCGAACCTGGGTCCTCTGCAACAGCAGTCAGTGCTCTTAACCACTGAGCTATCTCTCCAGCCCCAATATACATTTTTAAATACATGTTAATTATGTCTATTTTCCTTTGTTGTACTTCAGGCTTGGTTTTACTACTGATATAGAAAGCACATTTAAATTTTCCCTGTAAGGAAGGACTGGAGAAAACAGTAATCAATGCATGGGTAGATCTGCAGAATCTGTCCTCCCCTCAGCTGCAAACTATCAGAACACCAAAAAAAAGTCTATCTAATACAAAATGCACCAAATATTGCCAATAATGTGCAAAAAGAAAACGCTTTAGAAAATGTTAACTCTCAATGTTGCTTTTTTTTCTAATATTAGTTCAAAGCAAAACAGTTGATTAAGTTTTCTATAAAAAATAATGTAACAACCAAGCACGGTGGTGTAGCTTGTAATCCCAAGCACTCAAGAGAGGAGCCAGGAAGGCTGAGTTCAAAGCCACCTTGGTCTACATAGCAAGTTTTAGAGAAGCCTATACCACATACTGAGATCCTGTCTCAAAAAAACAAAAACAAATATTGAACCCCAAAATTATTACAAGCTCCCTTGTACTATTTTACAGTGGTGACTATAGATAACCATATGTACTGTGCAATTCAAAATGTGGTGAGTGTTTTGACAATTCTCACCATAAAGAAAGATAAATGTTTGTGGAGATATGTTTAACTTGATTTAAACATTATACAAGAGATATATGTAATAACAATTTCATGGCATGTGATTAATATGTGCAATATTTATGTTCTGAGGTATCACTTAAATATGAAGTAAAAAATACTGTATTTCAACAGCAAATATAAGTTGCTTTTGAAAAAGAGGGCTGGAGGGGCTGGAGCTGTGACTCAGTAATTGAACTTTTGACTAGCATGTACAGGGGCATAGGTTCAATCCAGTAATGCCATTAGGAAAAAGAAAATGATTTTAAAATAAGTAAAATTTAAAAACTTGCTTGCTTTTGCGTTATTTTTGTTTGAAATTTTCTATGGACATCCCTTCATTGTTACAATTGCTAATAAACAACAGAAAAGAACAAAATATCCAGTAGACTTTGATTTAAAAGTTAAGCACACAAATCTTGAGATAAAGATGTATTATACCATGGCATAGCTCTTCACACATAAATTTAACTTTTCTGAGATAAATAAACCCATGTGGATTTCAGAATGAATCTTCTTTCACAAAGTCTTACACCAAAGAAATATTATGATACTATTCAAAAGACCCTGATGTTATATTAGGACCTAGCACTTTGATTATTAAGTAAGTTCTCAATATCATCAAGAAACCTGCAGAATCTATCTCTGGAAGTTTTACTTCCATTTTCATGCTTCATTAAACCTAGGGAATATTTGTAATAAGTACTAAAAATGTGGTGAAGGAATAATAAAATTACCATGAAAATTTAGATGTATTTGAATTGGATTTGACACCTAGTTTAGGCAATTAAAAAGTTCATTTTCAATGTTTATGGAAGATTAGAAAATAACACAATAGTTCAATTAAGTAATTATGGTTAATTTTTTTCCATGGGTCCTTGCAAGATTCATTACTTCTGTGTTTCATTTTTACAATGAAGGGGTTTTGTTTTGTTTTCACTTTTTTGAAAACATTTTATTTATTATTTTTATTTTATGTTTATAAGTGTATTGCCTGCATATAAGTGCACCTGTGTCATGCAATGCTCACAAAGGTCAGAAGAGGGTGTCAGATTCCATGGAACTGGAGTTATGGATGATTATTAGCCACCATGTAGGTGCAGAGGAACCTGGGTCCTCTGCAAGAGCAGTCCGTGCTCTTAACCACTGAGCCATCTCTCTAACCCATTTTCACTTTTCTGTGTGTTTTTTTGAGATAGGGTCTCATGTAGCTCAGGCTGTCCTTGAGCTCCTAATCCTCCTGCCTCCACCTCCCAAGTGCTGGGATTACATGTAAGAGCCACCAACCCAGCTTTTTTGTTCTTTTAATCTTTAAAAAAATTAGTACAAATATAGGAGGAAGTTCTTCCCTGATTCTAAATTATCTGTGTAATGGGCATTACAATAAACATAAAATATGGTATAAATTACCTAGTAATATAAAAATACAGACACATTTCCTTCTATGGAATATATGTGGAAATAGTGACAAGCTGTCTTAGTGTACTAAGTACTAATATACTACTACCAATAATGGAGTCTTCTCGGTTTCCACATTCATTCTTGAATCATAAGAGGAAAACTTCCCACTGGGCATGGTGGTACACACCTTTAATGCCAGCACAGGGATCTCTGTGAGTTCGAGGTCAGCCTGGTCTACATAATGAGTTCCAGGCCAGCTGGAGCTACAGGGAAGACTCCGTTTCTAAAAAGACCCCAAAACAGAGGAATACTTCTCAACACAGACAGTAAATCTTCTTAATTTGTAATTTGTTTCTGTGTTTGTTAGAGTAACAGCATAAGCCTTAAGCATACTGATTTGCAAAATGAAAATACTTTGTGGCCAAGAATTATCCAATTACACCTACATTTTCTTTTTTGGTCTTTTTGAGACAGGGTCTCCTTGTATCCCCAGCTGTCCTAGAACTCACTATGTAGACCAGGCTGGCCTTGAACTCACAGAGATCTGCCTGCTTCTGCCTCCCGAGTGCTAGGATTAAAGGTGTGTGCTACCACGCCCGGCTACACCTATATTTTTAAGACTCTCAATATAGTGATTAAAGTCTAGGCAAAACAAAACTCCTACTCAGGAATATTCGAGTTATCTTTTTATTTTTCTTCCGAGAGTTATCTTAAGTTGGTATGTAATATGTGTGTGGAATTAGGAACTCTGTGTTTAAAAATCCAGACCTTCTGTAGTCCCAGCACTTGGGAGGCAGAGGCAGGCAGATTTCAGTGAGTTCAAGGACAGCCTGGTCTACATAGTGAGTTCCAGGACAGCTGGGGCTACAAGAAGACCCTGTCTCAAAAAGACCAAAAAAAAAAAAAAAAAAATCCAGACCTTTAAAAACAATTATTTTACTTGAGATGCTCTTCCAACTGTTAATAGCAGGTTTAAGCATATTTCAGGACAATTATTCCTTTTATTTAAAATGAAAAACAGGATTTGAAAAGGTTTTAGAAAATACTTAAGTAACTTCATTCCTTGACAGAAACAAGCCAGGCATGATGGTATATGTTATGATCCTAGCACTTGGGAAGCGAAGATGGGATCGTTGAATTTGAAGCCAGCTTGGGCTATATACCCAGTTTAAGGCCAGCTTGAACTACATAGCAAGACTCTGTCTCAAGAAAAATAAAGTGGGGGGTAGGGGGTAGTTCTAGGGATACAAGTCAATAGGAGAATGCTCGTCTGGCCTGTACAGGGCCATGGGTTCATCCCCATATAAACAAAAACCTACAAATAGATAAATAATAGAAACAAAAACTCTTCATCCTCATTCACTATTTGATGTCAATTAATTTATTTCAATGAGGAATAGACTTTATATCAGAGTACTACAAAAATATTATGACACGGCCTATGACTATATAGTTTCAAATGTGATTTTAATTACATTACTATTTAGCTTAACACTAAAATAGGTGTGCCAGGAAAATTATTTGGTTCATAATTTTATTATCATCTCCCAGTCATGAGAATTATAACCCCTTAACCAGAGTCTATGAGTAACAGTTAAATACAGCCAAGCATTCTGTATCAAACTTGCCTTCATCGCCTTCAACATTTCTTAAACTCTGGTGTGAAAGTTTGCCATAATTCCCCTTGCAGTGCCAAATATTCACTAGTTACAGTCAGTACATGGAATCTTCACATTTACCTCAAGTTTGGCATCCAGTTCAGCATCAGATGCAACCACATGCTCATCCTCTTTCTTTCCTGTGGCTTTGATAAAGACCTGCTTAGTTTTCCAGTATTTCTTTTGCATTCTGCTCACTACTGACTGGTTATCTTCTGGTCTGAGTTGCCCAAAGGAATCCATGGAGTAACTAAAACAAATAGACTAACAGTAAGTTTCTTTTTAAAACTTACCAATAGATAAAAATATGTATTTAAAAAATTACCAATAATAAATAGCTAGTCAGTATTTAACTGGGAAGCAAAAATGATATTAAATAGAATATTAATACACAAATAAGCTAATGCTTGTTTTATATGAGCTACGTTTATTTTATAATTACAACAAGAAAGAAATAGGTAAAAGACTACTTATATTAATTTTGGTTAGAAACAAAGTAATAAAATTGCTATGATTTTACAATTATGGCTGGAAAAATAATTCTATTTGACCAATCTGAATTACTAGACATTATTTGTTTATTAATGCCTCTAATTTTGTGTGTGTGTATGTTTTTGAGTCCAGGTCTTCCTATAGCCCCAGCTGGCCTGAAACTGCCTATGGAGACCAGGCTGGCCTCGATCTCACAGAGATCCACTTGCCTCTGCCTCCTGAGTGCTGGGATTAAAGGCATGTACCACCATAACCAGCTAATATCTTTAATTTTTTATTTTACAGTAATACACATACATTTACATGTTACTATAATATCCTTACAAAAACTTTATATAGTTATTGTTATATCAGATGGCTACAATTTAATAAATATTTTCAGATATGTAAAGATTCAGATATATACTCTTCTTTAAATAGCAAAGAAAATATCCAATAAACCAATAAAAATTAAAACTTTACAGGAGACATGTTATAAAAGAAAGACATGATAATGTAAGCCATCATAAAATGATGTTTAAGTGATTGCTCTTAACAGTTAACATAGCCACGTACAAGGAAATGTAAAAGTGAAAAGCATTTCTTATGATGTTTAGAAAACAAGCCATAATAATAGTTTGATACTAAAGCCCAGATTATTGCAATAACCTGTGGGAACAGAACAGGGAAGTGTATGACTCATTCATTCTAGTCTCCTTGTTAGTAAAGGAATAGAGGTTCATTTCCCTTTTGCCTTGAAGCACTTATTAATTAAATTATTTTTTGTCTTTTTGAGACAGGGTCTTTCTGTAGCCCCAGCTGTCCTGGAACTCACTGTGTAGACCAGGCTGGCCTTGAACTCACAGAGATCCACCTGCCTCTGCCTCCCGAGTGCTGGGATTAAAGGTATGAGCCACCATGCCCGGCACTAATTAAATTTTAAGAAGGCTAATTTCTAAATTAGTAGAGGTAAAATCAGAGAAGAAGAAAAACCACTAAGAAGCAAAAGCCAGAATAGGGAAAAACAGGAATAAGACAACATAACAATAATAGTCATCAATATGCTGGAATATGATCGGATTACTTTAAATGACACACATAAACTTCTTTGTAGGTGCAAAGAACCTAAAACCACAAAAAAAGGTTGGGGTAAAGCTCACTATAAAAGTTTTTGCCTAGCATATATGAGGCCCTGGGTCCAATCTTCACTAAAGCAAAAATAAAATTTAATTAAAAAACAAAGACCTAAAAAACTAAAAAACCAAAATCCAATTACGTACTATTTACGTATACAAAACAAAAAGTACAATGAGTTGAACAAACCCCAGCAGGATAGTACTACAAAGAAAATTATGAGTTGGTGCATCATAGGCTAACTGTTTAAATCCAAGGATAGAAAAAAGCAAAGAAACTCCACCTTGAAAGCAGAGAAAAAAAATTATTAAAAAAAAGTTTTTTAATCTTCACATAGATGGAACTGGTAAAAGAAAGGAGCCAGGAGCTCCTCCCAAGCCCATATGACTCCTGAGGAATGGATCCTCAAATGACCTTAAGTGTAAAAATAAATTGATTTATTTGGGCCAACTGTATGGTCTTAAACACCCAAAAGGAAAGTATAACCAAAGAGTAAAG